GAGCTCCTGAGGGTAGCTCAAGTTTAGTGCATAGATTAGTCCCAGCGCAGCATCACTATTGCAGAAGATACACTGCCCAAGCTGTTCATAACTTCCACCTCCTCCAGGACATCCAACATCCAGATGTGCATCGGCAGCCTCTGCACCCTCTGCTCAAATGACGATTCCGAGGACAGCTCGGCTTTGGCCATTTCTGCGCATTCATCAACGTCCTAAGGGTTAGGGAAGGGTATTGGGGGGGGGAGACAATTCACATGTAATTAAATAAATAAATTAGACTGACATTGATTGAGTCACTCATGGACCTTAGTTTGGTGAAAGTATTTTAACAACTCTTAGGAGTTCTATTGTAACCACAAAGAGAATTTAACATACCATGTACTCCCTCACCAGCTTCTCTGGATCTTCATTTAGGTACACACAGACCTTTGAGGATGCACTCTCGTCTGCCCTCAGCAGTGTCTTCCTAAATATGCAGATGTAAAAACAATGAGAACAATCTCAAAACTCCAGCAGTATAGGTTCACACACTTGAAAACATAGCTGCATTCAAAGGAAGTCACAACAAAAGTGATCAGTGGCTTGCAGTCTGTTTTGAAAGATATTTAAAATTGTTAGTATCCCTTCATTATGCCATGACTAAAATGGAGTTTAACATCTCATTTAAACATCTAACTGAAGCTGTTAGAGGTTTAAATAAAGACATGAATATATCACCAAAGAAATATGTGAAAAGTACAGAATGGTCAACAGTCTATATCCTTCTACTTAAATGAATATGCAAAGCATTCCATGTCTTACAAGTACATGGACAGTCTATGTGTGGGCATGGATAACGTCGCATATGCCGGTGTTTAAGTGTAAAATGTTTTAACAGGTCATATCTACGAGACAGAGAGAGACTACACTCCTTACATTTCCACATCCCCACGCAAAAAAAGACAATAAAACAGACTGGCCAAATAAATGTTTAGCTGAACCCTAGCTCTATAAGCTCTCTAACACTACATTCAGTCACTTTAGATCTGGCAAAAACTTACTATTAGCCACTGAAATCTATAACTTGATAGCCAATGATCCCCTTGACCAGAACTTAAGCAGGTGGATTACAGACAGGTGATCAGGTGATGTTCTGAAAGAGATCAGATATATTTTCAGCCATTAAAATATGCAATTCATACTGAACTGAGTTGTATCTTTTAGTACAAGTCCCTTGAATGCCTCATGAATATAACCACTGGACACATGCAGGCACATATGTGCAGAACAGTGGTGAATTGAACATGGTAGAAAGCAATAGTAACATAGGTCAAAATGAGCACAAACAATCAACACAAAAAACATCAACATTTCAAAATTAAACCAATGAACTTCAATATTGTTTCTGAGCTACAATTATTTGGGGACAACAAAGAAGAGTCCAAAAAAACCCAACATCTTTACAGCAGAGGAATATGTATTTTAAAGAAAAAAAATAGAAAGCTCAAGTCTGTAATAATGGATAATCCATTGAGAGTTTTAGCCTGACAAAATATACTAGAAATCCATAACTAACAGGTATTTTAGGAACATTTAACAAAGCTCAGAAAGCAATGCTTTCTGCAGGTTTCACCGACTGAAATGTAGGACTTTTTATTACCATAATTAATTAAGAATCTCGATGATTATAGAAAGGTACCAAAGTGTGTGTATCTACATTTACCTCCATAGTAACATTACTGAAATAGAATTAAAATAGTCAGAAATAGACTGATGTTAGATCCGTGTGTTAAAAATCCACTAAACCTCCAGGGAGCTCAGGAGGAGCAAAACTGTGACATTTCTGGGGTCCATTTGTGTCTCTGGCAGCAGCTTTGTACACTACATATGGCTCTGCAGACTTTTTTCGCACAGAATGTACCTAACATGGTGCGGCGATAAATGTAAACTTACCAATGATATCACATATAGCTATCTGCCTTAACCTAACCGACTTAATCTACAGAACATGAAATAATGTGACACAAGTATGGAACATTGCCAGACAATTGCCAGCTAATCATCACTTCATGTGATGTTAGCACAGGTTAGCTTAGGAATTACAGACACCTGAGAAAACAGCAAAATATTATTTTTCTAAAGTCTGATGATTTTAAGTTACATATTTTTATATGGATTTAGAAGAAAATAGATTGACTCTTACCTTCTTCAGATTAAGTAGATACACGCCAGGAATCTCCCCTCTGCCCTTGAAAAAACCCAACAAGGTAAAGCCTTAAAATCTCGCGTGATTTTCTGAAATCTCTTGATGTCGCTGGATCCTCTTCAGCGGGAGATGAGTTTTATTTTTATTGCAAAAACAGAACAAACATAAACAACATATCTTAATTACAAACAGATACATTTACAACATTAAAGGGCTTTATAGAACAATTGTTTTACAATATTAACATCCAATCGCTGCTCCAGGGTTTTATTTCCTTAAGGGCATCTAAGATTTGAATGGCTTTGGCATTTGAGC